TAAGGCCATGACTGCCACAGTAGGGCACATAGACCCCATCAGAATCACCAAAGCACCCAAACCTACTGCCTGGGAGACTGAAGAAAGAGCCAGAAGTCTGCATTTGAACACCCTCCCCCAGCCCTGGCACCCAGGAAGCAAGGTGCTGGCTGGAACACTTTTCCTGCCCCTCAGCTCCTCCGTGGTGGCATGGGGCGTAGGGAGTGGAAAGTTGGCAGAGCTGCTTCTGAATTGAAACTGGAAAATGAAACTGGAAATCACAGCCTTGTGACCCCAAGTGTTGGAGTTTCTTTCCACAGGGAGATTCCCCTGGGGAGAAAGAAGGGAGTGGGGTAGGGCACATTAGGTGAAGACATGAGGCATCTAGTCTGCAGCCCAGCAGGGAGCAGCCCCAGCGCTGCATGGGCATGCCATAAGGCTGGCCAGCTGGGAGGGCTTTCTCTCTAGGAAAGGTGAATTTCACATTTACCTTGAAAAATGCTTTTCAGTGATAATTTGAGGGGGAGGGCTTGACTTCTCATTAATCTGGGCCACTTCATAGCAGCTGCCTTCACCCGTTGGCCTGCCAGAGTGCATGCTCAGGACTTCCATGAGAAAAGGAGGTACTTTCTGAAACAGTTGAAGTCAACCTGAGGATCAAAGATCAAACCCTAGATGCCTCTCTCCTCTTGCTCCCCTCTCCCTGCCACAAAGAGTTTGTGCTCACCCAGGCACAAACACTGTAAGCAGCTGCCAGCAAAGGCCCTGCTCTGGGCCAACTTTGGCAATACCCGCAGAGCAGCATTCATGGAAGCAGCAGACTTCCTGAAGGGACTGGAATGCAGGAGAGGGGGGCAGCGGGGGAGAGCCAAGAAACGGCCCCCACTGCTAGCTCCACCCTGTCCCTGCCTCCCCTGAAATGCCTCTTCCTTGGGAACAGCTGCCGGAGCCCCCCAATCTTACACATTCCTGCTTGGGTTGAGACTCCTGAAGTTGCACCCTCTCATAGCTCCTGTATTTTTCAGAGATCTGTGTGATTATTTGCCTGATGTCTGCCTCCACCATGAAACTCTGTGAGGCCTGGAACCGGGTCTGTGTTGTTCACTGTGTGTCTCTAGCGCCTGGAATAGTGCCTAGCACATGGCATGTACATACATGTTCACACGTGATGACAGGCTTGAAAAGCCTAAGAGAAGGAATAGGCTCCAGCAAGGGGTCTGCCTCTGGGCTGCACAGTGTCCAGACCCCACCTCGGCCCCTCTAAGCACCTTCCTTTGAGGATGCCGTGGGCACATGCCCCAGCTCTGCAGCCTGCAGAACCAAGGCCCCAGATGCAAGGTGCTTTGACTGTCCCTAGAGAGCTCAGGCAGTTTCTGAGGGCTGCAGGCTTGGCAGGGGGAGCTGCCAGGGGTAGAGGCAGTGTCTCCCATAGTATACTCTCCATGACCCTGGCCTTGTGCCCCTTGCCTGCATAGGTGGGCTTCACGTAGTGTTTTTCAGATTGTCAGAGGCACTGGGTTCATGGAAATAAAGAAAAGCCACTTTCGGGGCGGCACCACTCCTTATGGCTCAAAGGAGTAGGGTGCCAGTCCCATATGCTGGAGGTAGTGAGTTCAAACCTAGCCCCAGCCAAAAACTGTAAAAAAAAAAAAAAGAAAAGAAAAGAAAAGCCACTTTTAGCCCATGGGTCAGGGGGGAAACAAGCTGGGGTTGGGGCTGTAACTGTGATTTTTATTCTATTTTATTTTGAAACAGTAAATCAAGCTGTCACCCCGAGTAGAATGCTGTGGCATCATAGCTCACAGCAACCTCAAACGTTTGGGCTTAAGTGATTCTCTTGTCTCAGCCTCCCAAGTAGCTGAGACTACAGGCGCCTGCCACAATGCCAGCTATTTTATTTTTTTTGTTATTGTTGCAGTTGTCATTGTTTTAGCTGGCCGGGGCCAGGTACAAACCCACCAGCCTTGGTGTATGTGGCCAGTGCCCTACCTACCTGTGCTACAGGCGCCACCTATAATGGTGATTTTTAAAGCAAAGAGTGGGCAAATGAAAGACACTGGTGGATGGTCCTCAGGGAGATAGGAGCCAAGGAAGCAACTCCTACATCAAGCCCCACACCACCTCCTTTGGACTTCTCAGCTGGATATCAGACCTATTTTTGTGGTCACGCCATTAGAGGCAATGCAATAGTCACTAATAGGGCGGACTTTGGAACTGAGCTCTCTGGGGTAAAATCCCAGCTCTGTGATTCACAGACTGGGTGACGTTAAGCCAATTACTGAATCTCTCTTTGCCTTGTTTTCTTTTCTGTAAAATGGGAACAATTACAGTGAATTCTGTGTCCATTACACAGGCTACAGGCTAAGTTATTAGAAGCTATTATCACCTTAGCCAGAATTGTGAGGGCCCAACAAGATGGCAAATGTGAGCATAGCTCCCAGACTCGAAGGTGGTGTACAAATGTGAGGAATAGTGAATGTTATTTTGGAAATATTGACACAGCTTCTCTCCTACATTTTCTGGGGTGAGGCAACAGTTTTACTTACTTTATGTTAAGCTAGAAGAGGCACCACAGCGAGGTGAAAAATGAAACCACCAACCGTTTGAGCTCTAGGCTGCACCAAAGCAGTGTGGCCGGTGCAGATGGCAAGAGCCGGGCAAGCCCACTTCCTCTCTGCGTGGCATGTATCTCCCTCACGCTAGCCAGCTTCCCAAGACTGCAGGAAGTGGGGCCAGGAGCAGGCCCTCTAGGTATGTGGGGAGGCCTGGCCAGAGGGCGGCAGCTGCCAGGGGGAGGATGGAAGCCTTTGAGGTCCTTGCTAGGCCCTGGGGCCACCCATGGAATAGCCCCTGCCCGCTCCCTGTGTAGGCTGCCCAGGCCCCAGACAGCAAGTTGGATAGAAGGAGAGCTGAATCTTTTCTCAAAGGAAATGCAGTTGTGGTTTTGAGATGTTCATATTTCACATCTGTGGTTGGCGTTTCCCAGGGTTCTCAGAGGTGAAGGCAAGGTCAGCCCCATGTCGCCAAATAAGGTTCACAGTGACCTTAGCAACAGGCTTTGCTGCCCATTGGCTGCCACTGTTGCCGCCTGCTAATGCGGCCTCCCAGAGGCCAGCACTGAAGCTTCCACGTGTGCAGAGGTCCTGCTGCCTCCATCAGAAATTATTGCCCTGAAAAGTAGCTACAGATAGGTAGAGAGCTCTGGACAAAGGTAGACAAAGTGGGGGGCAGGGGCAGGACTGCCTGGGTGCCTGAGTTTCAGAGTCCAGCTAGGCATTGCCTCATGGACTGAGTCCTCATACTGTACCAGACCAGCCCCTGCAGCTTGATGCCTGGGCCCAGCTTGCAGATGAGCCCCCCATCCCTACTCCCCAGCTGTCAACTTGGGGCTGTACAATGATTACCATTTCCTAATTCTGCTTGTTTTAGTTCTCTTTGTTCTTCTTTTGTGCTAGGCACTCACCTAAACTCCTACACAGCCTATCTTTTCACTCCTTCAACAACCTATGAGCTAGCTAGACCCATTTTACAGGTGCAGAAACTGACACTAAGGGAAGTCAGGTAACAGGTCCAAGATTGCACCTCTAGTAATCAGGGAAGGCACAATTTAAACCCAGTTGAAACAGGCCCAGATTTCATGCTATTAACCACTGCACTATACTGCAAGACACTCAATGTCTCTGCAGCTTGGGGTCTTCATTTTGTGACATGACATGGGATGATAATATACCAGAGTGTTAGGGCAAGGATTGCATGGAGTGACTTTTGTGCATACCTGGCATTGGTGGGCTTGGCACTCCCAAGGCACGCTCCACAAGCAGTTTGCACGTTCCTCTCCCATGGAGTGTGTTGCTGAAACATTGAGGTTTGTGGACCGGACTTCTCCTTATGCTTCATATTTGGTTTCTACTTCCTCTTTCTCATCCTCCTCCTACCCCCACCCGGCTGCAAGGTAGGGAGGCCAGAGAGGAGCCTCCTACCAAGGGGCCACGGCCTATGGACAGCAGAGGAACAGGCTGGCTGGGCTGGAAGGGACAAGGTTCTGAAGACAGAAGGTGGGGGGACACAATATAAGGGCACACACACCTCATTTCCTTTACCTAGACAACTGATGTTGCAGCATTGCTTCTTTGAGAAACATTTTCAGGATTAAAAAATCTATAAATGACCCAGTGAAGATGAGAATGCATATACCCTACAACTCAGGAGTCCCACTCCTCAGAATCTTCTTTCACCACACTTTTACCCACGAGCACTGGAATATCCACATAGCACCAGAAAGAGTCCATGTGTCCATCAGCAGTAGAGATTACAAATAAATTGTGAGCATTTCTGCAGTGAATATGAATGAAATACAGTGACTTGTAAATAACTGTAATATTGGAATATTGGATAATAGTACTGAATGGCTCATTACAACATAGTAAGCAAAATACAAAAGAATACATGCAGTACAATACCTTTTATAAAAAGTTTAACGGGAGGGGGATTGGAGGGATCACTTCTGTGGTTTATCTTACAAGGGTACAAGTGAATCTTTCTAAGAGTAGAATATAAACATTTTAACACAATAACTAAGAAAATGACATGAAGGCTATGTTAACCAGTTTGATGGAAGCGTTTCAGATTGTGTGTGAAAACACCACACTGTACCCCAGAAGTGCATTAATGTACATAGTTACCATTCAATAAAAAAGAAAAAAAAAGTTTAACAACTGCCAAAATTGGACTATATTGTTAAGGATACATGCAGGGGAAGTAAAACTATGAAAAGCACAGAAGTCATCACAAATGTCAATGTAGTCACGACCACAGGGGAAGGTAGGTTGTGATTAGTAGGGGAACATGGGGGTCTTTGGAGGTGCTAACACTGTTTTATCTTTTAACCTGGGTGATGGTTATGTAGAGATTTGCTTTATGGTTATTTGTTAAACTGAACGTAGGTTTTGTGTATTTTTCAGCATAGTTATTATGTCACAATAAAAATAAAAAGTGTATGTATGTATGTGAATCTGTTATAGTGTTGAACAGTGCCATGAACAGACGGGGCCACAGAATAAGCTCTACCTCCACGCCTTGCCTCTTTTGGAACAGTGCTCAAGAATGCCACACTGCTTGCTGAACCACACCTGTTAACTGCAGATTGAGAAGCCTTGGAGAGAAAAGAAGATAAAGGCCATTGTGGAATTTAGGATTGCGGGACATCCTTTGACATGACACTACAGCCAAGGAGGATCAACCAGTGGATGTGCAAACAGGAGCTGGAAGAAACCATGGGCAAAGCCTGTCTGGTCTTCTGGGGGCTTGGATGGATAGAAGGATATATGCAAATGACCCTCCCTGGACCCCCCACTTGCACTATATAGTACTGATGTGGCTGCAGCTCCTGTCCCAGGGTCCTCCCTTCAGGGATACCCATATTTGTTGATCATCTGCCATTTGCCTACCTGGTCCCTGCAGAGTAAAAAGAAGAAAATAGCCTTCAGCAGTGGCTGACACAGGAGCCCACTCGATACACAATAAGGAGTCCAGGGACACAGGATGATGCGACTCCCTCCCCTAGGGGACTGGTGTTCCCTAAGCATAAGGACAAGTTTTATTTCTTTTTTTTTTTTTTTTTTTTTGAGACAGAGCCTCAAGCTGTCCCCCTGGGTAGAGTGCCGTGGCATTACAGCTCACAGCAACCTCCAACTCCTGGGCTCAAGCGAGTCTCTTGCCTCCGCCTCCCAAGTAGCTGGGACCACAGGCGCCCGCCACAACGCCCGGCCCGGCTATTTTTTTTGGTTGCAGCCGTCATTGTTGTTTGGCGGGTCCGGGCTGGGGATTCGAACCCGCCACCTTAGGTGTACGTGGCTGGCGCCTTAGCCAGTTGAGCTATAGGCGCCGAGCCAACAAGTTTTATTTCCCTAACCTGGGATGGGCCCTGGGTGACAGTTAATAAACATTTGTTAAGTGAGCAAGTGTGTAGAGTGTGGACCCTGCTGGAGAGGCAGCCCAGAGGTCTCCCTGCTTCTCTGTAAAGGACAGCTCTGCCAGCTGCGGTCCTGTCGGTTTTCTTGGGGGTGTCTGGGGCTGTTACCTGTCAGATGTTAAAGATGTCCCTCCTTTCTCTTCTCCAAGCTAAACATGACCAGTTTCCATAGCTCTTCATCTAGCTCTCAGCATGCTGGTTATTCAGTCTGGAGAGACACAGAATTATCCAGATGTTATCTAAACAGGCAGAACCATGGATGCAGATGGAAAGTTTGGGGTTGTGTGGTTTGGCAGTATATTCCAGTTGTAATGGTGACAGGTACTGGCCTGGCCTTGATGCTGTAGGAAGGATCAGACTTACTGCTAACCATCTTTCTTTCTTTGGTGTTCTTACAGTCTTCACAAAGACACTGTTTGGGTATAAAACCCCATGTTCTAGCCCTTGAAAAGATTATTGTGTTTCTCCTGGACTATATTGCAAACTCTCTGAGGCAACTGGCTTGTGGCAGGCACTCTATAAATGTTAGCTAGTATTATTTGCTTTATTGTTTTGTTATTTGAATGCACATTCACTGGTGACGTTTCTTTTTTTTTTTTTTGGCCAGGGCCAGGACCCGCCACTTCCGGTATATGGGGCTGGCACCCTACTCCTTGAGCCACAGGCGCCGGCCCACTGGTGACATTTCATGAACATGACTATGTGCCAGAATATAGCAGTGATCAGAATAGACCTATCCCTGCCTCCTAGAGCCCCCAAGACACTCTAAGAAGACTTACTGATTGAATGATAAACTTTGATTAAACCCATTGTGAAAAAATTAAAATAAAGTAAACCCATTGTGATTAACATCTCTACCACCAGACATCATTTTGTGCCCTCTTTGTATTAAACTCAGAACACACCCTTCCTGCCCTCAGGTGCTGGAATGTGAGAGTCTGACGGAAATATCATTTTGTGAGTAAAAAACACTGAAGTGGAGTGTTTTTTTACAAATTAGCCAGAAGTGGTGATGTGCACCTCTATTCCCAGCTACTCAGGAGGCTGAGGCAGAGCAGGAATCACTTGAGCCCAGGAGTTTGAGGTTGCAGTGAGCTATGATGATGCCACAGCAATAGAGTGAAACCCTGCCTCAAAAAAAATCAACTATAGGCTTGGCACCTGTAGCTCAGTGGCTAGAGCACTGGCCACATACACCAGAGCTGGTGGGTTCGAACCCAGCCCGGGCTTGCCAAACAACAATGACAATGACAACAACAAAAAAATAGTCCGCCATTGTGGTGGGCACCTTAGTCCCAGCTACTTCGGAGGCTAAAGTGAGAGAACTGCTTAAGCTGTGGAGTTTGAGTTTGCTGTGAGCTGTAATGACACGGCTCTCCACTGAGGGTGACAAAGTAAGACTCTGTCTCAAAAAAAAAAAATCAATTATATTTTATATATTCATTGGGTTAGAAATATATTATGCATAGTTTCATGTTCTACCTTTTCTCTGTAAAATTGTGTTTTATGAGGTGGGACTATTTTTAATGCAGAAGAAACTTAGAAAACCTTTTCCTTTAAAAAAAAAAAAAAAGAGTGCAAAGCCCCAGTCTACAGTGGTTGGGAGGACATCCTGTGGGGCTGTAGGGTGGCTCTGTTGTGCATCCGGTGTGAGCTTCAAGGCAGTGGCTGTGGCCATGTCCTGTTGTCTCCTGGCCAGGCTATAACCTCCTGCCTGTGAGTGAAACAGAGTTTTGATGAGTCTGCACTCACCCTTCCTTTCCCCACACTGTAATCATCTACCCTCTCAAAAGGCATGTAGGGTTATGATCTTCATTGTTTATCAATAACAAGAGCACCTCAATCTGTGCAGAACAATGTTTTCACATATCTTATCTCACCTGAGACTCACATGTCCTGTGAGGCAAAAAGGACAAATGCTGTCATACCCATTTTACAGATGAAAAACCTGAGGCTGCAAGAAGTCTGGTGGCTTATATGAAATCACATAATTGGCAGAGTAGGGACTTTACACAGATCTGGCTGGCATCCAATTCAGTGATTCTTTTTAAACATTATTTTCCCCTCTAGTTCTAGTTCTTCCTGAGCCAAACTGGATCTTCTTAGTGAGTCCGGGAACTGAAAGTGTTTTGAGTGTTACGGGTGTGTGGTGGGGGTATAGAACTCCACCCTGGGAATGATTTTTTTTTTTTTTTTTTTTTGAGAGAGCCTTAGTGTCATAGCTCACAGTAACCTCAAACTCAATTCTTGGGCTCGAGTAATCCTTCTTACCTCAGCCTCACAAGTAGCGGGGACTACAGGCACCCACCACATGGCAGACTATTATCATTATTATTATTATTATTATTTTTAGAGATGAGGTCTTCCTCTTGCTCAGACTGGTCTCTAACTCCTGAGCTCAGGCAATCCACTTGCCTCAGCCTCCCAGAGGGCTAGGATTATAAGCCTGAGCCACCACACACAGCCACCCTGGAAATCTTAACCCAAACCCTCTGGGCCTCTGACTAATTGTCCTGGATAGCCTGACCTCAGGGTTGCTCCTCCCAGATAACTCACCAGAGCCAGCATCTCAACTCACTGGATTTTTGAGGAGTGGGCTTCAAAGAGGCAACTGTTTCCTATACAGATATGTAGCAAAGGTGTCCTTGATGTCACCCTTATTGAACTAGCCAGACCATGGAGACTCATTACCTGCCCAGGGCTCCACAGCCTGAACTTCTCCCAGAGGGAATAGAGTCTCTTACACAGAGGGGTTGTGGGGCCCTGTGAGGCTGACTCAGGGATTTTTGGCAGCTGTGTTCCCCAGATGATTTCCCAGTGTGTTTAGTTTCCTATTGATGCCATAACAAATTATCATAAACTTAAGGACTTAAAACAACCTTAAAAATATTATCATATAGTCCTATAGATCATATGTCTAAAAAAAGTCTTACTGGGCTAAACTCAAGGAGTCAACAGGACTGCATCCCTTTGCAGGGCTCTCCAGCCGGGCCTCTGTCTGTTGGCTGCTTGGTGAGGCCTGGGAGATCCAGCAGGAGGGCCTGTGGGTACTGCAGGGCAGGAGGGGCTAGACAAAGCCTTTGCCATCAAGTAGGGTGGCCATCTGGTCCTGGTTTGCCTGGGATTTTCCTAGTTTTAGCACTGAAAGTTCTAAATCCTAGGAGACTCTTCAGTCCTGACCAAATTGGGACAGTTTGTCACCTTACCTCCATGGCCTTTTGTACCTGCTAATCTACTCTCAATCAACTCTGCAGCCTGCACAACCAGCCCTTTGGACTTCTGGATGCCAGAGAGACCTGGGTACTGAGGAGAGGCTCCAAGCCAGTACTAGGAAAGTATAGATGCCAGTTTGCAGCATCCTCAGCAGAAGCATCACCTGTGAACTCAGAGCTTGTGTATACACAGGAAAGAGCTCATAGATATATGCCCTGGGAGTTTGCACCTGAGTCTCTAGAATTTGACAACCTGGTTATTTCTGGGTGGTGTACTGTAGGTGGCTTTAATACATGTTTTATTTGCTTATCTGTATTTTTTACTCCTTGTATAATTAAACCAAGTTCCTTTTGTTGTGTACATTTTTAATAAAAGAAAGTCATTAATAACTCAGTCTTCCATCTTCAGTCCTACAGAGGGGCAGGTTGTACTGCGTGTCATGCACACACTGGCCCCTGCTTTGAAGCCTTTGACCTTGGCTGCTGGTTGTTCCTCAGTGCCATGCTTGTCCCTCAGCCTGTTCCCCTGCATCCACGAGCCCACACTGGCTTGTCCCCAGGGAAGGGTTCAGGAGCCAGGTGTTCTCCTAATAGGTGAGCAGGTGCTGAGTACAGGATTGTACTGACCAGCAGGAGATGCTCTGAAGTGCCAATCCCACCTGAGCAGTGTGAGGTTATGGAGGAGATGAGCTGTTTACCCCTAGGGAGTTTCCAGTCTGGTTAGAAAGATTGGGTACCCTGCAGACCGCATGGGGAGTGGCAGACAGGAAGGGACAGGCACTGGATGGTGAGGCTTTGCCTGGGAGGGCTGTCAAAAGTTAGATAAGGAAGGATCCCAAGGTTACATTGCACATGTCTTAGTACAGCAGAAGACCAAAAATGGGATCTTCCTAGTAAGCTGAGGCAGGCCTCTGTTCAAGCTCAGGGGTATATGGACTCCTGGGCCCAGAACTCAGGCTGGAGTGAGTGAGTCTCAGTGCCCACCTGGTGAGAGCAAGGACTAGCCAGCTGTCAGAGTGCTGAGTTTTCTTATGGATCAAGAAGCCGGGAATTAAACCCACCAAAGCCACAGGGTTGGGCCCTGGCCTTGTGGCTGGAAGGTAGGATGCACCCCCTGAGTGGTCCTGGCTCTTACAATTAGTCACCCAGAATTCTGACCTCTGAGGAACCCCAGGACTCAACAAAGGCTCTGCTTTAGAACAGGAAAACAGGTTGCCTCCCTCAGACAGAAATGCAGCTGAAAAGTCCTCTTTGATCCCAGCTGGGGCTGAGATAAGGTTGAGCAGGCCAGAGTCCCTTAGAGCCAGAGCAAGTTTGCAAATAAGCTTTTGTGGCTGAGCTGCTTCCTTCACTGAAGCCAAGTTGCTAACCTGTCTATACTCCAGTCCTTGGGGCCTCACCCC